TACTCTGAATTTCGAATAATCGCTTACAAAATTACGATGTTTACTTAAGGCCTTAAATAAAGTATTTTTGCATACTTTATGTGTCTTGTAAAGTATAACGTACGCACAGTCGAAATAGAGTACAATACTTTATAATAAAGTACGGGTGGCAAGCCTAGTTACAGTAGACGAGTAACATCCCATTTAATTAAATAATATCTTTAATCCAATCCTTATTATTAATAACTTATATAGGCGTGTTAGTTTTTTATATTAAATCAGTAAAGGTCAAATGTGTTCATTGACTAATAAATATATTTCATAAATCGCCAAAAATTATAATATAACCCACGTGGTTCTTCCAATTTTTTGTATTCTCGTTAAAAAGTAAATTTAAATACCTAATACTATTCTTGCATATACATATCTATTTTATTACCATCAAAAAAACACAACAATATTATACGTAACAATAGAATATCCTTTTTTTAAATAGACGGTTTCACAATGCGTCCAATAAAAAGTGGATTAGTTTTGAATTTGATTGTTACAACAAACGGGTGATCTACGTAAAACTTTAGAACGGATGATAAACTTGCACTTGTCCTTATCCTTAACCCTATAAATTACGAAAAATAGAGTAAAATATTTGTGGCAGATAGGTGAAAGTTGAAACAGATCATGTCACAAACAGTCACATTCGCGAAAGCATCAGGGGTGCAATAAAAAAAATTGTAAAATAATGTATAAAACGATAACACAGTGATAACACTTTCAGTAGACGACTCTCTAATATCCCATTTAATTAAATATGAATGATGCGGTACAGGTTAGAAACTAATAACCACGAAAAAGTATATAAATATAAATACTTCTCCGTAAATACCTTTAATCCTAATCACTAATAAGTTATACGTATAAGCGGGTTAGTTGATTTTTTTTGATATCAATAAAAGTCGAATGTCTGCTATGACTAATAGGTATATTTCATAAATCGACAAAAAATTATAAACAATTTAATATCGTAGTCTTGTATTCTACATTAGTTATGTAGATGGATTAGTGATACGTCCTATAAAAAGTGGGCAGTTCCTGTATTTTACAACTACGATAAAGGGATGATTAACGATGAATCGAATGTCAAAGGAAATGCTTAACAGCACAAAACCTATTCCTGTAAAAAAGGGAAAACGATAACAATAACAACATTGCAAATAATGTATCCAAAATGATTAATAAGAAGCAAAAGAATCTGTCACCTTTTTATTGAAAAATGCAAACATGCAGATTATATCGACAATAAAAAGCATAAAATGTTTTTTTTTAATTCTATGTAAGAATTATTTCACTTACAAAATGAATCAACCCCTAGTTTTCCTGTTTTTGCGATAGTTTACAAACTTTTATTTCTTATACCAATCGCCTATAGCTGGAAAGGTCTATATTTTGGAGTCTAAGTGTAAGAATGTACATTTTGGAGTAAAAATTCACTAAAATTTTAAAACCAAACATTTTAAGTAATGGTTCCCATGTTATTTTTTGTACTTATTTTTTTTAACAACGGTATTTATATCAAATTTCTGGGAAAAAATTCTCGTAAAAAAATATTTGTTTTATTCGTGATTCTTACTAGAATGAACAATTTAAATTTAAATGAGCTAAATTAATTGAGCCAATAATTTAATAATCATTAGAACTCTCCATAATATCACGGTATAAAACCCCTAGTATTACTATCGCTGGAATGGGAAAAATGAGAGGTCGATCTGACATTATTGATTATAATTATTATTTTGCGAAACTGATTAATTAAGGATAAATAAAAGTAAGTTCTGTAAAGCATTTCTACAATGTCTCTATAACGACAAAAGTTATATACAACGAATTTATTAAACCACCAACGCATCAAGGGGTTTTCCAGGATTAAAAGTAACAATATTTTGTTCTTTGATGATTTTTATAAAATTAGTTTATGTCGAAGATACAAAGTGATAAATGTTTTTCGGTAAAACCAATTTTGATACATGTTTTCCAAATTATGAACGTAGTCAAGGTGAAATTACAGCGTACTACACTGGCTTTAATACCGAGTAACCGAGAACTAAAACGATAAAAGTGCGTTTTATTGTTTTAACAATTATTCCGATAACTATTTGAAGCTATTTAAGTAGTAGAAAATGTGAAAGATTAAAGAAATCGGAATCAATAAGAAACGACACAATTGTTTTAGGAAGAGTTCGGCAACCAAACAGAAGAAGGGGGTAGTCAGTTTCAACAGTTCTTGTAGACTAAGAAGTTTTACATTTATTTATTGATCTCGACAATTGTTCTGATTAATGCAATATTACTATTTTATCGTTTATTAGTAAATAACATTATTGATAATGAAGAAACTGTAATTTCGGATTTTAGTCGCGTCTTATTGATGAAATCTCCATGACAGTTAGATAAGTGTTTCGACGTTTCGTCTTATATCACATGATACATCTTCAGAAACTTTCTGTTTCGTGTATAGCAATAACGTTGGATCATCAATAAGAATTCAGACGACAGCCGTGAAATCTTAAATAATCGTTAACTGTCGAGCACAATAAAAAGTTTTAGTAAAACTGTTTTGTTGTATTTCTTTTTCTTCGAATTCTTATTGAATAAATGTTTCACAAGAAAGTGCACCTAAGAAAGTTTAAATAATGTTATTATCGTAGAAAAATATTTATCACCAAAAGTCCATCAAAGAGCAAAATGTTCTTACAATAATCAACAGAATACAATGCACAACAATTGTCATAAATATTTTTCCACCATTTAAAAATTAGTTCCTTTTAAGCGTTGGAAAGTAATAAAAATTAAAAATCGTGGATAATCAAGATAAACCAACCAATCAGTTTCTATATGGTTTTGCAACACGTCCAACAAAAAGGAGGTTGTATTTTTGTTTCAGAGCTACAATAAACGGGTGGTCAACTACGAACCGAATGGTAGGAATTGGTTGGCTAGGCCTAGCTATTTTTCTCACTCCTAGAAACGAACAAATAGGAGATTACACTAATCTTTATTCTCCACAAAATTTTCAACAACTCGAAAAAACCGAAAGCAGGAACATTTTCGTTAGTAAAATAAGTTTGGAATGTTAAAAATTACTATCATTTTGATGAAAATCCCAAGCAAAATGCAAAATTGATTTTAAATCACTTATTCTCTTATTCGTGCTAGGCAAGAATGAAATTTATTTATGAGGGAGCGTTGATGTATTACGTAAACAGGCTTACTTTTGTTGACAAAAGAAGAATGTAGGTGAAAGATGAAAAAAATACCAAAATAATGAAAATGCTTTTAAAGTAATATTCATAATCATTATCTATTATTGGTTATTACGAATAGGAGTGGTTATAGTACGCACTAGTGTTGCAACAGACCTCTGCTTCCGCAGCCGCAATTACGAAGTTCCGCATACATTTTCAAATCCGCTTCTGCAACTGGTTCCGCATTTTTATAACAAAAGCTTTTCGAAATTTAACAAAATCTTATTTCTTATCCTTTTGATAATCAATATATCGGAACAATAAAACTATATAACCCTATAAATTACGAAAAATAGAGTAAAATATTTGTGGCAGATAGGTGAAAGTTGAAACAGATCATGTCACAAACAGTCACATTCGCGAAAGCATCAGGGGTGCAATAAAAAAAATTGTAAAATAATGTATAAAACGATAACACAGTGATAACACTTTCAGTAGACGACTCTCTAATATCCCATTTAATTAAATATGAATGATGCGGTACAGGTTAGAAACTAATAACCACGAAAAAGTATATAAATATAAATACTTCTCCGTAAATACCTTTAATCCTAATCACTAATAAGTTATACGTATAAGCGGGTTAGTTGATTTTTTTTGATATCAATAAAAGTCGAATGTCTGCTATGACTAATAGGTATATTTCATAAATCGACAAAAAATTATAAACAATTTAATATCGTAGTCTTGTATTCTACATTAGTTATGTAGATGGATTAGTGATACGTCCTATAAAAAGTGGGCAGTTCCTGTATTTTACAACTACGATAAAGGGATGATTAACGATGAATCGAATGTCAAAGGAAATGCTTAACAGCACAAAACCTATTCCTGTAAAAAAGGGAAAACGATAACAATAACAACATTGCAAATAATGTATCCAAAATGATTAATAAGAAGCAAAAGAATCTGTCACCTTTTTATTGAAAAATGCAAACATGCAGATTATATCGACAATAAAAAGCATAAAATGTTTTTTTTTAATTCTATGTAAGAATTATTTCACTTACAAAATGAATCAACCCCTAGTTTTCCTGTTTTTGCGATAGTTTACAAACTTTTATTTCTTATACCAATCGCCTATAGCTGGAAAGGTCTATATTTTGGAGTCTAAGTGTAAGAATGTACATTTTGGAGTAAAAATTCACTAAAATTTTAAAACCAAACATTTTAAGTAATGGTTCCCATGTTATTTTTTGTACTTATTTTTTTTAACAACGGTATTTATATCAAATTTCTGGGAAAAAATTCTCGTAAAAAAATATTTGTTTTATTCGTGATTCTTACTAGAATGAACAATTTAAATTTAAATGAGCTAAATTAATTGAGCCAATAATTTAATAATCATTAGAACTCTCCATAATATCACGGTATAAAACCCCTAGTATTACTATCGCTGGAATGGGAAAAATGAGAGGTCGATCTGACATTATTGATTATAATTATTATTTTGCGAAACTGATTAATTAAGGATAAATAAAAGTAAGTTCTGTAAAGCATTT